CACACACACACACACACACACACACACACACACACACACACACACACGACCACACAGCATCTTCATCCATTTTGTTCCTTCACACACACACAGAAACACACACAGAGTCATAGTTCCCTCCCTGGTCAGTGAAAGCAAGAAGAGCTCTCATATCGTCCTGGATAATCTCAGATGAACGTGCATTGATCCTCACTGTTTGCCCCTCCCCCCACCACCCCTAACAACAACCCCTCGGGCAAGACGGATACTAAAGTCTGCTGGCATCTGTGTTATTAAATCCTCCAGTATTAATTTAGCTCTAATTGAGTGAGGGATTCATTCTCCGTTTACCCTGAGCAAAATCTGGATGGGGGAAGCCAGTATTAAAGGCTGCGTTGAGACTTAAATCAAAAGCGAAACGCTCTTCCCACAGGGGAGGCACCGAACGTCGGAGTGAAAGAGAACTATGAAAGCGGAGATCATCAACTATTGATAAAGACGATTCTGGTACAGCTGTAGACAAAATACAGAATCTGTTTGACTTCACGTTGAATGTGCCTGCAAATGGCTGAAAACTTGTCTGGTTGGGAAATAAGGTCTAACCGCACATGATACAAAGACTACTGGTGTTTTAGTTCATATTTAGGCTATAAATCTGACTACAGTCATTTTTAATGATATATGTACACACGCTGCGAATGTTAAACGTTGTCAGAGGCTGTTAGGATGCTGATGCACATGCTTTGAAGCAGACTTTACCATTCATCTGATAGTTTTCTCATTTTGTCATGACTTTTGATTTGTTCTTCCTCCCACACATTCAGAAAAATCCTAACAAAAGATCCAGTGCACTCAAAGACTATTCTCATCCCTAAGCTAACTGATCTAATGAGTCTGACCTAACAGCGTAATGAAGACCAAGGAACACACATTTTAAAGCAGGGTTAAGTTATAAAGCAATACCCCAACCTTTGAACATCTCATGCAACTCTGTTCAATTCATAATCAGAAAATGAAAAGAAGATGACCTATCTGCACACCAACTAAAATGTTATTGTCCACCTAAACTGACAGGCCAGGCAAAGAGAGTATTCATCCAAGAAGTAGTCCAAGGTACCTCTGGAGAAGCTACAGAAAACCACTGCTCAGGTGGTCAAAACAGTTGACTATTAGTTGAACACTCAACAAATCTGGGCTTATTGGAATAGTAGATGAAAACTATGTTGATAGAAAGCCAACCATCCTGTTCGCAGGGATACAGAAAAGCTGTAGAAGGACCTGCTCTCCTCAGATCAAACCAAAGTTGAACATTTTGGCCAAAAGGCAAAGCACTGCGTGGCTGAAAACAAACCCTGCACACCATCTCTACTGTTAAATATGGCGGTGGCAGCATCATGCTGTGGGGATGTGCTCTTAAGCAGAGGCAGGGAGCTGGTCTGAGTTGAAACAAAGAGTACATGGCAACCCAGGAAGAAAACCTGCTAGAGGCAGCAAACGACAGCCTCAAAACATACATTTAGAGCACCAATCAAATCAAATCAAATCTTAGGACTAGTCAAAGTCCAGATGTAAATCTTACTAAGAATTTGTGGCAAGACTTGAAGATTGCTGTTCGCAGACACTCCATCCAATTTGACTGAGCTGTTTTGAAAAGAAGTCTCTGAATGTGCAAAGGCGGCAGAGACAAACGCCAAGAAGATTAATTGAAGCAAATGGCGGTTTTACAAAGTATAGACTCAACTCAAAGGGGGCTAAATACAAATTCATGCCATACCGTTCTGATATTTATTCAAGCAACAATAGCCACTTTTAAATCCATGGATGATTTTCCATCAACTTTACAATTATTAATTTGTGTTGGTCTATTACACAAAACAAGCAAAATGCTTTTGTAGTTTGTGGTTTTCCATCCATCCATTATCTTCCACATGTTCAGAAGTTGGGTCGCGGGGCAGCAGCTGGATCAGGGAGGTCCAGACATCTCTTTCTACATCCACCTCTTCCAGCTCTTCTGGGAGGGTTCCAAGGTGTTCCCAGGCCAACCAAGAGACATAGTCTCTCCAGCGTATACTGGGGCTTCCCCGGGGTCTCCTCCCAGTCGAACATGCCCGAAGCACCTCCCTAGGGAGGTGTCCAGGGAGCATCCTTACCAGATGCCTGAACCACGTCAACTGGCTCATATCGATGTGGAGGAGCAGCGGTTCTACTCTGAGTCTCTCCTGGATAACTGAACTTCTCACCCTATCTCTAAGGGAGAGTCCAGCTACCCTGCAGAGGAAACTCATTTCAACCACCTGTATCTGTAATCTCATTCTTTCAGTCACTACCCAGAGTTCATGACCATAGGTGAAAGTAGGTAAATGGACTGAACTTATAAAATGCCTTTCTATTTGATTAAGATACTCAAAGCACTTTTCTTTTCTTTTTTTACTCAAAGCGCTTTACAACACAATTTGTGTCCTCATTTACCCATTCATACAGCACTCTACTATATCTATACAAAGACTAATCAGTGCCTAATCACATTCATACACAGATGGGACACACATCAGAAGCAATGAGGGATTCATTGTCTTGCCCATGGACACTTCAACATGTGACTGCTGGTGGAATCAAACCCCCAACTCTCGCAATGGAGGACAACTGATCTAACCACTCAGCTTCAGATGCCCCATAGGTAGGAACGTAGATCGACAGATAAACAGAGAACGTTTCCTTACAGCTCAACTCCCTCTTCACCACAATGAACCAGAACAAAGTCCAAAATACTGCAGACACTGCACCAATCTGTCTGTCAGTCTCACGCTCCATTCTTCCCTCACTCGTGAACAAAACCCCGAGATACTTGAACTCCTCCACTTGAGGCTGAATCTCACCCTCAACCTGAAGAGAGCAGTCCATCCTTTTCCGACAGAGGACCATGGCCTCAGATTTGGAGGTGCTGATTCTCATCCCAGTCGCTTCACCGCTTCACACTCAGCTGCGAACTGCTCCAGTTTGTGGTTTAAACTTAACAAAATGTGGAAAAGTTCCAGGGGTTTGAATATGTTTTTTAAAGCACTGTACGTTGTCAAATGGGAACAGAGCACTAAGACTTCAAGTAGAAATTTAATAATAAGAAGAAGAAAAAGAAAGAAAGAAAGAACGAAAGAAAGAAAGAAAAAAGAAAGAAAGAAATGGAAACCTTTCCTCATACACCTATCCAACATAATCCATGATGGAATTGTGACAAAACAATAGAGAAAATCATTTCCTGTTTGCAGATCTAGTGGCATTAGTCAAAGTTTAAACATGTCACAAAAAGTTGAGCTTTCACAGCTGAACTGGCATTTTCATATCTTTAACAGTTTTAAGAAATAACTATGTTATTATTTTGGAAATTTTACCACAAAATATTTAACTGAAAGCTATCTAAGCTTCCCAAAATTCATGCAAAATACTTCTTATTTCCAGCACTTTACATCATATATAAACACATGTTTGCTTTGTTTTTCCCAGCGTTGCTCTCATCAGGTAAAAATGCAACAATGTACTAAACTAAAAGAAAACGGTAAAATCAATCAGCCTATTTGTTTATACTGCTGCTTTGACTTCACATCAATGTAAAGCTCTTTATTATAGAAAATACTAGAACGTCTTTGATTAAAACAAGTTAGAAAAGAGATGTTGTTTTACCTGACTGCGATCTTTATCCACTTTCTTAAAACACTTGTTGAGTGACAGATTGTGCCGCACAGAGTTCTTCCAGCCTGTGGGGGCGCTGGAAAAGTAAGGGAAGTGCTCCAGAATCCAGCCGTATATATCCTTCACCGGCAGCCGCTTGTTCGGGGCGTCCTCGATAGCCATGAAGATCAGGCAGCTGAAGGAGTACGGAGGTTTTCGGTTAGCTCCCACCGACAGGTCATACGCCGAGTGCGTGTCGCCGAGCAGGGCGTCGTCTGGGGAGGGTGAGGAGGAGTATGGCGAGCGGGGGTGCTGACCGTCTGGGTCCTGCAGAGGGGAGACGCTACGTAGCCCGGAGTGGCTGAAGCTGTTAAGGAGGTCGGTGCTCTCGTGGAGCCATGAGAGGCTGGTGAGCTCCTCGTCCTCGGCCTTGGAAAAGGAGGCAGACAGGGATAGCGAGAGATCGGCTGCCTCGGCCTCAGATGCCGCCGTGGCAGCGTCCACCTGCCGGTACGGCGGGCTCATGCCCTGAGAGGCGCTGGCTCCACTACTGGGGCTCTGAGCCTTCTTACTGGGGGGCATGGTGGGTCCCATCCAGCCCAGGGCTCACTCCTAAAGCGGAAGATAGCAAGAAAAAAGAAACGAGATCAGCTTTTAAAATGCAGTTTGTTCTTCACATTAAACCTTCAGTTTTGTTAAAGGTCAACAGGATGTTTTTTTATTTTTTTTTACAAGATTTATAATCAGGGAGCATACATCATCATTTCCCACCAGAGCTTTCCATCCACTTCTGACTGGTACAGCAAATTTAGTGCTTCAATGGTTGAGGAAATCCTGCCTTGTACAACTACCCTCTAATTACCAGAGTAACAGCAAAGTATTGACATTACATGGGGTTGCTGTCATAACACATGAAAACTGTTAAAGGTCTAATGGTTACAGGGACAGCGAAACTGTGCCAGTGATTTAACATCTCTGCAGCAAGGGAAAATTTAATTGTCAAGGGGTGTGTGATAATTGAAAGCAGAAGAGGAAAAAAGAAAAACTTAAGTTCCTGGATTTACGACATCAGATCCAATGGTAGGACTTAGATGCGCAGTGGGGTCTCTGAGACCAGACGTGATCATGATCTGGGTAATTTACCAAGAAAAGAAACAAATTAAAGTGTGAGTTCAAATCCATCCCTGCTCCAATCAGACTATTATCCCATAAGAGCAGCGCTGAGCTCGTTTCACGCAGGCGAAGCGTGGTAATCGAAGGGGAACGGGGCGCTGAGTGTTGCGCTACAATCAGAACCAGGCCTTTGATTGTATTCTAGTGCAGACAGCTGTGGGAAGAAACCTGGCAGCTATGGAAAAACTGTAATCTGCTCACAATGAGCCCAAGATAAACACACGTACTCCTGCTTGGAGGATGCACACATGCTGTCTGGTACACACGCACTGACATGCGAACGAGCGCACAACATTCGGACATGAGGATTAAGTCTTGACATGTTCCGGACTGTCCCGTGCAGTGTGATCGCTCCCTAATCCAAGGTGATCATCGGCCGATCTGTCCCCTCACTCCACATAATTGACTGACAGCTGTCACCCACGGCAACCCGCTGTAGCGTGACAACTGTCAAAACGCAACAGCTCTGGCTGCCATGTCGCCATGGCGACAGAACAAAACAACTCATCTCTGCTCTCGTCTGCCTTTTTTTTCTTCGTTTCGCACTTCCTCTGTGTCTGCTTCTTTTCTGCCTTTTTAATCACCAAAAGGCAAATGAGAAAAATAATGTTTTTGGTTGTGTCCGTGCTCAACTGTTAGCAAAATATCTTGTGAATTGCTGGATAAATCTGAATGAAACATTGCGGGGAAAACAATCGAGTTTCATCTTCAGCTTGTCAATTTCTTGGAGTTAACCCGATTCAGCACCAAAAGGCTGTGGAAGATCTGTTCAAAACATTTCCCATTGACTGTTGGGAGCCAACTCTGTGTTTTGGCAAAATAGCTCCCGAACAACTGGACAGATGTTACTGAAACAATCAGGAAAAGAAAAACAACAATGTATGGAAGCTAACTCATGTCAAGATAACCGCCACAGATGATTGACCTTAAAAACACAAAAGAATTTAGATTTTTACAGATATTGTGCTAAGGTTTGGCGTGGTAGTAGCCGAGAGTCATTTGCAACACATACTCTGTGACATATTGTGATACTGCACATATTATTGAGGGTTTGACCAATACGACCACAACTCAGTCATTTCTCAGCAAAAGATCTTTGTCTAAAAACGTGGGATGAAAGGCAGTGGGTGATATGCATCCCTTCACTTCTTCTATCGTCTCTGATAGTCCTTACTGTTGACAGGCTGTTGTAGAAGGACTGAGCTAAATATAGATTTCTGATGTATAGCCGCCGCGCTCCGCACACAGCCACCTCGCCGCTCCTTCCGGCTGTCTCCGTGGCGCAGGAAAACGCTTGGCGGAGTTGGCACGCCTTTGATCTTGTTGCAGCTTCCTGTCTTCCCCCACCATCCGACGGCACGCACGCTCATTCAACAAGCTGTACCTGTCTGAGGTACAGCGTTTGTTGCACCAACGCTGACATTGAGCATAATGAATTCAAATTGCCGTGGCGACGACGAACGCCGCAGCTGAAAATAGTCAAGATAATCAAAGAGATGGGCGAGGTGGAGAGTGTGTCTGATGGGCTTTTCAAGTCGTGTGTGTGTTTACGGCTGATTTTGACAGGCCTGTCAGGGGTGTGTGTTCTGAGCAGGAAGAAAGGACATCGTGGTGACATTGTTCCTGGTAGGAAGTACACCGGAATGCAGAGATGCCTCTGATGCGCTCTTTCTTTCCTGACTCCTCTTCCTCCTCGTTATGTTGCCATAGCGGCAAGGGGGCCATGAAACATTACGGCTGACAGTAAAGTCATCTCATTTTACTGTTGCTATGACAACAAACTCCTCACTGATGGTTGGGGCCATTGCGAGCTGCCGCCCATGCCTCGTGCCTAAGACTGTTGGTGTGTGTAGATGCGTGTGTGTGTGCCACCAACTCTCCCAGGGGCTCTAATAAAGCTTAACGCACTCGCTCAGCTCTAAACAAACTTCTATGAAACTTCTACAATGGCCCCTCAGGACCAACTGCTAAAGGACAAATGCAGATATCGCTCAAGTTCAGACTAAACGATGCTTGCTGTGTGCGCACACACGCCAGCATGTGTGTGTGTTAGAAGCGTCCTCACATTTGTTTGACAGATGGGACTGTGGTATTCTCTCTGTCTTCCTCATTCTCTGGATCTCCTTTGTGTTTGCACGCTTTGTTTTGATTTGTGTTCGTCTCTGTTTGGCGTGTCCACATTTGGATCGGCGTGTGCATATGTGTGTTTTTTCCCCCTACTTGTGTGTGTGTGTGTGGACTGTAAACACGCGTTCTTCAGGTAAAACACTGTGCACACCAATACCATTTAGAGCAGTAGAAGCCCCCCACCCCCCTTGTTCTGGCACCATACTGGTTCTGTTTGCACTCTGCACCCCGAGCGTATGGACTTTAAAAGACACCACTCATTTAGAATAAATGACTCGCTCCACTGGAAACACCTTTCTTTTTTACTTATCTGTAACACTTTAGCGCCTGGTGCTACACTTAAGTTAGACTGTTGCTATTATTATGCTGCCATGAATATACAATAAACTCCAGGAGACTTTGACAGGTAACAACAGCTTGAGATCGCCATGGCAACTGAGCCTTTTATCGGATAAAAGACGAAACGTTTCAACAAAGAAGAAGCCGTCCAGAGGACGTGACTCAGCCTTGTCAGATGACAGACTGTAAATGATTAGTTAGTAAATTAGTAAAAACTATAGGACAATATTTGTATTGTTGTGTAAAATTATGAAATGATAGGAAATGAAGAAGAAAGTGATGAAGTTTTGAAAGTCACTCAAGGTTTTGAATATATAACAACATAAAGCTACAGTTATAGATGCCATTTTGAAAAATCTGCTCATACAGAATCAGTACCACCACCCCCCCCACCCCCCCCCGTCTTTTTTCAACATTTAATTAGTGATAAGATTAGCAGGCTTAATGAGTTTATATATATATATATTCCACCACAAACAAGAACAATTTTGTTTTGCCTCTTGTTAATTTAGATAGCTCCTACCTTGTGCTGTATTCTCTAATATTCATTTTTCTAATAGATTCAACTGTAATTTAAGAAAGGTCATGAGGCAGCTTGATTAGGTCCAGAGAAGCAGAGGGGACTTAAAGTCCCACATCATTAGTGCACAGACTCTGGTTCCAAAAATACAACACGCAGCTCCTGTAAACCAGCTCCTATGGGCCTAAAATATGGTACTTATAGATGTCTACACTAAAGCTCTGTTCAAAATATCAAGATAACACTTGTTTACAACATACAAGGTGTCTGTACACCAGTATCCTTGTTTTACTCCGGGGGGACAGTGATGTTAGTGGACTGTTCAACCAAACGGGGCCACCATCTAATAGGCTTTGTCAATTCTGGTCTTGAACCGAGATCTAAGAATGTCCATCTGCTTTGTGGACCTCCGAGTTTTAGTTCAGTCAGGTATGGTGAATACCTGACTAACCTGTATAAATAAAGGTTGAACGAATGAATACCAGTGAGACTCTTAAAAATAATCAGTCAAATTTTAAATTGAATTCTGAAATCATTAACTTGAACAAATAAATAGATCAGGATATCATCAGCAAAACAGTGAACGTTGACGATGATGGACTCCAAAGGCAGCATTTTTAATGAAAACACAGTAGAGCTTAAACTAGAGCCCATAATATATTCCCCAATTAAGAGATTCATTCATTCAACCTTTCATTCAACCTTTATTTAGACAGGTAATCCCATTGAGCCTCGAGGACTCATTTACAAGAGAGACCTGATTTCAACAAAGAAAGATGACAACAATGGACAACAGCGACAGCAATAAACAGTTATCAAAAGTCATACTGCAGTTTTTGTTTGTTTGTTTTTTTACAACTAGGATGGCTAAAAGAAAAAGGTAACAAAAAAAACAGCTAGATTCTAAGGCGAATGTAGAAAACTAAAAACAGGAACATGTCTGCGTTGGTCCCTGCCAGGAGTCCAACAGATTCTTAAAGCCACTTAGAGAGATCAAGGTCGAGAGCTTCAATTGTTTTTGTAAGGTATTCCAGGAAACAGGAAACAATTAAGAGATGACTCAGTTTATGTGAAGACCATCATAAACTGAAGGTTGTTTGTCTCACTGGTGATCGTTGCAACCAACTAAAGAAGAAAACATCAAAATGAAACCAGAAATCAGGCTCCAGCTATATTCATGTATGACAAACTTGACAGGGTTTTAAAGCCTCGTTGTCAGAATGGACTCAAAACTGGGATTTGTCAACAGTAAAGAGAATGCTTGTGGATGCTTTGCTCATAAACAAAAGTTTCCGATGATATTCAACGTGAGCATATTTGTTACGACATTCATGTCGTAAAAAGATATACAAATTTAAAGTGAAAAATAAATGTATAGTTTTGTGCACAAATTAAATTGTATTATAAAATCCACTATTGTGCAACCTATGATTTAAGTTATTCAAGTTATAAA